CCCCCCCCCCCGAGCCAACTAGAACAGTGGAGTTTGTACGTCGTGAATAACAAAGCAATCTTCTTCATAGGTCTTCTTTCAAGACATACTTATTATGCTTCTTTTAAGTTTGTATACAGGTCAACACAGTTTGTGTGAAAAACATGTTCATTGTAACTGGAAGTAATGAGAAGGGCCCAAATTAATGTAGGAATACAAAAATATTCTAGAGTAAAACAAATAAACTGGTACCTTAATTTCTTATATGGTGGACAAGATAAAACTAAAGTAATTGTACATCATTTTGCACCTGACTTCAGATTTACAGTCTAAACGCATGGGCTGAGTGCATTCCTGTTCCTCTCCTCTCCCTTTCGTTTCCAGTCGGACCCATTTTCCTGATCGGCTTAAAAATGGGAGAGAAACGAATGTGACACGTTTTTGTCTCCGCTCGCTTTCCGTTCGTGAACATCCGGTGTTGTCATTAACACAGAAGATGTAGATCTACATCGTATTGAGAGTGCTACCCTTGTGTTGAGAAATAATGGAGGCTTGTTGTTTGGGATGAAAAGAAGACCCCGTGTCCCAAAACGGTACTGAACACAGTATTTTTCTTCGAAGAGGTGATTTTGGAGAATATCATCATCTTCTGGGTGAAGTTCGAAGGGTGGGGGGGGGGGATGTGTTTCCTACATTTGGATGCGACCTGAAACCTTTCAAATGCGCGCTCATATGACCTTATTATGCAGTTGCGAGCGCCGTAAAACCCTATACTAAACTAAAACCTTTCAAACCCTTCTTCATCTCGTTGGACCTCATATTGAGAAAGAAAAAAAATTGCATTGGAGCGATGAGCGCTTCGTTCAGTGACACCTAGTCCATAATTGTAGGTTGAGAGGACAAAGACAATTCTGGTGATCTGATCACTTGCTGCTGAGAGAGAACACGGGGAAGTTTTACTTGCGAGATAAAACGTTTGCGTTCGGCTCAGCAACTGGAAGCAGCAGGAAAAGGAGAAGAAAGCATGCACTTTTCTTCGCCGTTCAAAAAGATGATAATGTTCACCCAATCGTTCCCTTTTCTAAATATCTCATGCACCTAATATCTTTGACCCCTTTAGAGCCCGTGTCCACTGCGACGGACTCCAACGGACCCGATTCCGTCCGTCTCTCGGAAAGTCGGTAGTTGAAATGGAGCACCATTTATCTACTCAGAAATCAGTGAAAAGTCCGTTTGGCTGTGTCAACAGACACGACACGACACGCCCCGACAAAAGACGTGTCGGTTGGAAAGCTGCTTGCTCAATTTTAGCCGGGCCGGGTTGTGACTCGTGAGCCAGAGGCCCCACAGGAGCTTTAAAAAATTATAAGTTTGAGTTCGGATTAAACTTCTTAAGTCCTATTCGTAATCGGTGCCTCAACATTGCGAAAAGTCTACGCGCAAACCATTTGGTTTAAATGCATATGAACAATTTTACCAATTTTCCTTTAAAAAACCAATTCATTTCTTATTCCCGCCTTGGGTTCATTGACCTCGACTATTTATAGCCCATTACCGAGGACAAGCGAGGACACAGAGTATGGAATAATAAAGTCAGTAGGCCAACAGTCTAGACACGTCTTGTCCGAACAGGTGGACACACAAGACGGAAACGACCCGACCGATTTTCTTCCTCTCGACAAAAGATCGGGCCGTGTCCGTCTCAGTGGACCCGTAGGGTTTTTAGTTTTAGTAGAGGGTTTTACGGTGCTCTTAACTGCATACGGTCATATGGGCGCCAATGGTTGGGTGTCAACGGAGAAGTCTTTAAAGGGGATCAGACTTACTCTGCTCACCTCTCTATCTTCAACAGCACAAAGTCTGCTTCGACTATCAAGGCACCCCGGAAATAGCAGGTCACATGAGTGTGACAAACATACAAAACAAGTAGAGGAAATGACAATAGTCATGACTAGGAAAGAAAAAGCAGCAGTTCCCTGTTGTAGATCAGGCACAGTTATGAGCGTGACATGATGAACCAGCCCATTCCTAATTCTACTGTGCATGAACGAGAAATGTCCCCCTTTGGGAATGGCCTAAAGACACTACAGTCAGTGGCACTGCCCCAGGGGGGGG